TGTCCTGGAACTCACTATGTAGACTAGGCTGGCCTTGAACTCACAGAGATCTGCCTGCTTCTGCCTCCCTGGGATTAAAGGCGTATGCCATCAGAACATATTTTTTTTATAAATAACTAAACATATATAAATCCTTTATAAGTAAAAATCCTAAAAATTTTCTTCTTTGTCAACTCTAGTTTCTTATCCCTAAAGTTTATTTACTTTCTGGTCAGCTCTTCTGAATTCTTACATGAACCAATAATTGTTATTTCCCTAGCTGAGGTGAAACATGAACTTTTTTTTCTAACTTGTTGCCTTTTCCTTTCCACATTGCAGCCGTGACAGGTCTGCTTAATATACTTGTCCTGAGCACAGTGCCTTACCCCCAAAACGTCTGTGTGGAAAACACAAACCCACCTTTGAAGTCACAGCTCTGTTACTTCTTCCCATGTTAAATAAGGATAATAATGGCACCCACCTCATATAATTGCAAGATTAAATGAGATGTATGTAAGAGACATCAGAGCCTACAGTGAGGTTTGCTGTTACTATTTGTTGGCTAAAAGGATGATCTCTCTACGTGCACATCCATGTTTATTGCTCTAGTATTCACAATGGCTAGGAAACAGAACCAGTTTAGATGCCCATCAAAAGATGAATGGATAAAGAAATTGAGGTACATGTACACAATGAAATGTTATATAGCCATAAAGAAAAATTAAATCATGACACTTGTAGGAAGATGGATGGAACTAGAGATCATGTGTTAAATAAAATAAGCTAGGCTCAGAAAAATAAGTAAACTTAAGGACACATTTTCTCTTACTAGACTTCAAATTATGTGTGTGTGTGTGTGTGTGTGTGTGAGAGAGAGAGAGAGAGAGAGAGAGAGAGAGAGAGAGAGAGAGAGAACTAGCAAAGGGATCATGAGAGGAGGAAAAGAGTGGTCTTTCCCACTTTAGGGAGGTGGGAAGTAGAGAGGGTGGCAGAATGCATGATTGGACTATCTGAGGGAAGGAAGGGAACCAACAGAAGGTGGGAGCAGGGAATGCACAGAACAGAGCATAGTGGCACACATGTATGAAGATGCCATGATGAAGCCTGTTACTTGTATGGTCACCTAAAAATTAAACAAACAAAGAAAACAGAGGAATGATCTCTGTTAGCCAGTGCCTTGCCATTCTTGCCATACAAGGCTTGTAAGATGTGGCTGTTTCCTGTAGTCTAAGCTCCAGGAGGAAAGAGGCTTTCCCTTTTTCATAACCATATTCCCAGCATGTGGGGTATGACTGGCACATAACAAGTATTCAGCAAACACTTGTTTATTGAATGAAAGAATGAATGCATATAGGAAATATAGTAATATCTTAGGGCTAAGGAAACAGCGTTGATGACGTAAGTCACACGAGTTACAGGGGATTAAGTGACAATCCTCCTACCATATCACTTCTTATGTCTTTATTTCATTATCTAAAACCTCAGATATTGTATCCTTGTTATTAAATAATGATTTTCAAGTGCTAAAAATGATTCTTAAAGTTTAAGACCTACCGTGGTATCCACAGCCTTGACCGCCTCTGTAGGAATGTGCTTTGGGACAGATTCCACCTGTGACAGTGTCACACATCCTGCAGCCCCCAAGGTGATGACCACTACCTGACAGCCTCGTTCTAGGAGCACCAACGCAGCCTTCCCAGCCTCAGCTGGGCTACCCACCATGAGGCCAGTTAAAATCTCAGCCTGGAAGACATGGAAAAAACAGTGATGCAAAGAGCTAACTGGATCTACCTCAAATGTGCTTTCTAGAAAATGTGTCACCCTCATTTTTTATAACAACCAATGCAATGAGAGCCTTGAATGATATTGGTGCAAGAAAATAAATAAGAGAACAAAAATAATAATAAAAAATTAGCTATGAAAGATATTCTTGGGCTGGGCATGGTGGTGTGATGTTGAATGCTTCCAATCTCAGCACCTAGCAGGCTGAGACAGGAGGACTGGGTCCTGGTGCCTTTCTCTTGTCACTGCATTTTGTTTTCTTTAGCTAGAGAAGCAGGAAGCAGAGGCCTCTCACTGACTCTATAACCTTCCTCAGATCACATTTAATCAGCAAACGAGGACGACTTGCACAGGATCAGGATTTCTGAATAGGGTCTTTGGCTGATGTAGGGCTGAGTGACATGCATCTGGCATCTCCGGTACTTCCTGGTTTCTGACACAGGTAGTTTAAAAAGCACTAGAGGAATTACATGGTACTTTTGGACTCAAATTCTATCTTTTCTGTATTGCAGTTTAACCATATGCTGTATATTCCTAAGGATGGGCCTATGTCTTGCTTATATTTTCTCTGAACATATCCAAATTAACCCTTTTCTTGTATGAAAATCATGCCTCAAGTGCCTCTCATTCTGGGCTTCTGCGTTTCCAATAACACAGGTTTCATGAACTTGGCCATGCGCTTTCTCTTACCATCATCTGTGTAGACCCTTTCAGTCTCGGTTGGTTATATTCTGTGACTGTCTTTTTAAAGAGTAAGTTTTGCATTACTGGGATCACTTCTGTCTGCTGAGTTCGATGAGCTATTTTCAGAGACACTGATGTCTGCTAAAAATCTCTAAAAATCGATTTCTCTCTTTCTCCCCCTTTCTCTCCCTCTCCCTCTTTCTCTCAGATTGGGTCTAATATAGCCCAGGTTGGCCTCAAACTTGCTATATAGACAAGGATAGCCTTGAACTCCTGATCCTCCTCAAACCAACTCTCAAGTGCTAGAATTATAGGCATGTGCCACTACACTGTCTCTTAAAAAACGACTCTAAAATTTTTAATTAAATTTCAGATTAGCATACAAAATAAATGGGCTTCATTATGGCATTTTTACACATATGTGTTATATGTTGTACTCATCCGTTCCTCCTTAAAAAACTTCTTTTATGAACAGGGTCTCCCTAGACCCAGCCCACCTAAAAGTTACTATGTGGACCAGGCTGGCCTCAATTTCCAGATATTCACCTGCCTCTGCCTCCCGAGGTCTGCAATTAAAGGAGCATGCCACCATGTCTGGCATATAAAACTATTTAATAAAAAACACCCCACAATGTAGCTGGGCATGGTGGCAGACGCCTTTAACCCCAGCACTCAGGAGGCAGAGGCAGATCTCTGTGAGTTTGAGACCAGCCTGGTCTACATAGCCAGTTCCAGGCCAGCTGGGGCTATAGGGAGACGCTGCCTCAAAAAGACAAAAAGAACAAAGAACAAAAAACAAAAACAAAAAACTCCACTTAATATAAGAATTAGGCAACAAATATCCACATACCTATCACTTACCATTTAAAAAATCTTAGTCATTTTACTTTATTTACTTCTAGTACTTCCCTGTAAGAAGTTAAATATCTTTATATACATGTATATATGCATATATATACATATATATAGCTTTAAAATGTGCTTTTTCTCTTACATTAACTTTCTTATCCCTTCCCCACCCTCCCTCCCCTTCCTTCCTTCCTTCTTCCTTCTTTCCTAGTATCATACAGCAAATATACCAGTGTCAACAAAATTTATTGCCATTTTGATAGATACTTTGGATTTACTTATTTTCCTTTCTTGAAAGCAATGAGGAAATAAATATTCTTGTCATTTATACATAATCTTTTTTTCTCTGGCCATTTAAAACTACTTTGGTGCAGGGCATGGTGGCACATGCCTTTAATCCCAACACTGGGAGGCAGAGGCGGGTGGAGCTCTGTGAGTTCAAGGCCAACCTGGTCAACCTGGTCTACATAGCTACTTCCAGGCCAGCTGAAGCTACAGGGAGACCCTGACTCAAAAAGAACAAAACAAAACAAAACAAAACAAAACTTTGCCTTCATTCCTGATTTTGTGTAATTCTACTAAAATGCATGTAAACAAACATATTTGTCTATTTTATGTGACACTTTTATAGATCCACTTAAAATTATTTTATTATCATTGAGAGAGAGAGAGCAAGAGAGAGAGAGAGAGAGAGAGAGAGAGAGAGAGAGCGAGAGAGAGAGAGAGAGAGAGCGAGAGAGAGAGAGAGAGAGAGAAAGACAGAGTAAGAGAGGTAGAAGAAGCAGCTCAGGCTACAAGGCAGAGGTCCTGTGTAAGTGTCCTAGCTAACAGTCCCATTATACTCCAGGACAACCTTTGTACCAACTATCAAATATAGTGAAGAATACTTCAGATAATTCCATCCCTCAGTTTGAGATTCTCAACTAGGCACTGTAGAACATGGACACATCATATTGTGCTATCTGAATTCCTGATGTATAGAAACCAGGAATGACAACAATTATTACTGTTGTATGCCACTAAATTTTGGAGGATTTATTATGCTGCAATAGGTAAGTATACATACATGGACAGTCTTTGATGATACAATAAGACAGATTTGTCCTGTCTTCATGAATTTGTAATTTAATAGAGAAGACAGAAGAGCTGAATAAACTGGTTGAGCTGTGAAAAGTATCTGAAGAATAAAGTGTTCTATAAGTATCTAGCAGGGAACTCTAAGCCAGTTGGTGGTTGAGAGTAATGTAATCTCTTGTTGTGAAATGGTCACTATCTCCCATAATTCCTTTTTCCTACCTCAGTGCCTGGCCGTGGTGATTGCTCAAAAATCTTGCATAACCTACTGTGGTTTGTTAAAATTACTTTCCACGTAGCAGTCTTCTTTGTCTTGTATGTTCTAACAGATGAAACTATCAAGAAAGCAGGGCAAATAACCCTAGACCTTCATTCAGCTTTAGAAACCAATGGAAAATTAGCCATTACTATTCATTAACCCTTTTCTCTCTGTGCATGCTACATTTGCTAATATGCATAATGGGTCCCGCATCTCAGTGACAAGAAAGAATTCTAGCTTAATGCTGTCTGTTCTATGAAAATGCTGACAGACTGAATTTTCATCCCTATAATACTTACAAGAGTAGCTAATATCAATATACTGATGGGTATGCTGTGCAGAGGTATGCATTATGACCCTCAGATGGATGGAGACACTGCTTCCCTAATACAGTGGCCTGTGAGATCTTTTCTGTGGCATCAATGGAGAATGAGTGCTTGTCCACCATTGTTGACACATCACAGGGTCCACATGACAGAAAGTAGCAGACACTCCAGGAGTTCTATACTAATTACAGTTGTCAGACAAAATACAGAAGCTCAATTAAATATGATTTTCAGAAAAACAAATAGTTTTGTATGTTTATTTATTGATTATTCATGATATTATTACTTGATTATTTTAAGTTCAAATTTAATTGAGAATCCTGTGTTTTTATTTGCTAAACTTGACAACTATAATATTAATTAGTCCACAAAATGATAATTTAAAAAGAAAACAAAATACCAATGGTGTGAGGACTGGGAAGGAGCTAAAATGAACTGAGGTTTAGTAAGTGCCAGACTGTTGGGGCATGACTCAGATCCTCATTTGCCACTCTAGGTCCTACTAATTTCCTTTTCTCTAAACCCCAGTAAACTGAAACATCTGTTTTTACTGAATTCACATGATATAAACTGATGTAGTTATTCCTGCCTCTTTGTTTTATCCTCTTGCCTGAGAGTCTCTCATAGACCCAGCAAATCAATCATCTTTACCTCACTTTCATTGCAGCAGAACACACTCGAGAGGGTATAGAACTGAGGGTCCAGGTCAGCAACGGCAGGAGCCGGATTGAACAATGTTTTCACTGAAAAGGAATAGAAAAGGGGTTCAATGGTTTTCAGTTAAAATTTTAAATTTTTGATCTATCTTTTAGGCTAGGAAGGGGTTTTGTTATGGCATTTTCATACAATAGTTATCTTTTTTTAATTTTTTATCTTGTGTGTATGAGTATATTGCCTGCATGTGAGTGCACCCATGTTGTGCAATACCATGGAGGTCAGAAGAGGGCTTCGGATTCCCCTGGAACTGGAGTTATGGACGGTTCATAGTCGCCATGTGGGTGCTGGGAATCGAACCTGGGTCCTCTGTAAGAGCAGTCAGTGCTCTTAACCGCTGAGCCATCTGTCCAGCCCCACAATACTTATCTTAAAAAAAAATTATCTTATGTATATGAGTGTATTGCCTGTGTGTGTGTAAATACACCCATGTTATGTAATGTCTGTGGACGTCAGAAGGTGTTGGATTCCCCTGGACAGTTATGGACAGTTGTTAGCCACCATGTGTGTGCTGGGAATCAACCTGGATCCTCTGCAAAAGCAGGCAGTGCCCTTAACTGCTGAA